ACATCTCAGGGAAATAAAGCACCGAAATGTGCGCTGCTTTTCGGTCTGGTTACTACCGTTTATGTCAGAACCGGATACCGGTACCCATCCCTAGTTATGATGGACTGTGAGTCAGACGAGCTTCTGCACACAGATGCTGTGGTTGCGTTTAACTTGAAGTTGTGCTGTTCAAATGCTAAAATGCTGTGATATGACAATATGAAGACCGTCGAGCGGTAAAGCAGCTTAAAAAGTGCATCAGAGAGACACTCGTGTTATCAAAAGGAAACTTTAAACACGCAAAAGGTCTTTTTGTGAAGCGTTGAGTTCCCTCGTGCACTGATGACCAATCGCTGTGATGTTTTGAGGCAGAACAAAAGAAATGAGTAATATTTGTGGCCATATGTTAAATGACTTTTGCCGCCTTTGGAAGCGCGAATGCTCGAATAGCTTTTCTATAACTGAAGGTCACGTGTGTGTAACGTGCAGGACTGGCTTATAGAAGGTGAGCGATTTACCCGTCATGCCCGTACGCACACGATTCATTAACTTCTTTTAATAATTTCTTTTTATCCAGATGGTAGAAGCTGGTTTCATTTTTACTTTCACCCTGAACCTTTGAGTGTCTCTGGTGTTTACAGCAGACGATCAGGAGAAAAATGTCTCAAACTCGAGCGAACTTGATTCTGAGGCCCCGACTGGCATCGCTTTTGTTACCTTCGCCATGTTGGTTTGCTGTTTCTCGACTTACTGCTAACAGACGTGTGTGTCTGTGTGTTATTTTCGGCAGGGGGAGAAGAATGCCGGCTTTGATGTGCTCTACCACAACATGAAACATGGCCAGCTGGCAACCAAGGAACTCGCCGAGTTTGTCCGAGAGAGGTGAGGTTTGTGTGTATTTGTGAATATCTGTGTGGGAGGTGGTGCAAGTGATGAGATTTGGGTGGAAAATCCACCGTTCTTTACTACGTACGTGGATATAAAGATTGTGCCAAGTTGGAAGAAATACTGGAAAATACCAAAAAGCATTCTGATCTCATCTCTCAGTATAACAAGGTGTTCAGATTCATCCTGTCTGCAGATCGTGTACTGTGGAGCACACAAGTCTGTCTGTGCTTTGACCTCTGACCTCACTATTCTGCTTCTTTTGAAGTGCCTGTTTCTCAAGCACTCAGGTCTGAGCACTGTATGTGGATGACCTCTCATCATAGCTCGCCACAGCAGGCGACACACTGCACGCTGCAGTTCTGAACTTTTTTCTATCATAATCCGACGAGCAGAGCAAAACTGCACGACGCCGTTGGATCGGACATGGCGCCATCTATACAGTCAGGTCCATAAATATTTGGACAGAGATGACTTTCTTCTAATTTTGGTTCTGCACGTTACCGCAATACGTTTTAAACGAAACAACTCAGTGCAGACTTTCAGCTTTAATTCAATGAGTTGTGACAAAATAAAGCATTTTAACAGTCTTTTCATTTCAGGGCCCGAAAGTAAACGAAGAAACTAAATAACTGAAAATAAAATGCTCATTTCTAATACTTGGTTGAAAACCCTTTGCTGGCGTTGACAGCCTGGTTTTGAACTTATGGACATCACCAGATGATGGGTTTCCTCCTGCTGGGCCTTTACTGCAGCGGCTTTCAGTTGCTGTTTATTTGTGGGCCTTTGTGTCTGAAGTTTAGTCTTCAACAAGTAAAATCCACGCTGAACTGGGCTAAGATCAGGTGACTGACTTGGCCGTTCAAGAATATTCCTCTTCTTTGCTTTAATAAACTCCTCAGGATCTGTGTTATGAAACGCTGCCCAACCAGTTTGACTGTATTTGAGCAGACAGTCTCTGGACACTTGCACCTTGCAGTGAACCCTCTTATTTACTGTCATGCAGTCTTCTCTTTGCGGTAGGCTTGGATATCGATACGCCGACCTCGAGGAGAGTGTTACTACTTGGTTGGCTGTTGTTAATGGAAATAATTCTGCGATCATCCACCACCGTTATCTAAGTCTGCGTTACGGAGTTCAGCAGCGCTAAATCTTTCAAATGCAAGCACCACACCTCAGATTAACTCCAGGTGATCGATTTCCTTAATCAACAATGACATAATAAAGGAATTCCCCACACCTGCCCATGAAATGGCCTTTGAGTCAATTGTCCAATTACTTCTGGTCCCTTTGAAAAGAGGGTGGCACATGTTGAGTGTGGGTGCCCTCAAATGAAAGCTGAGAGTCTAGACGTCTTGTACACGTCTATTGTATAACAATAATAGGAATGTGTTTAAGGAAACGGGTAAAAATGTATCCAGATGTATCTATTTACACCTAACTGACAGTTTTTACCTCCCTGTGGTGTGCATGTTCAAATTCATCAGGTTATTGTCCATTAAATGCATAGAAAGCCACTTAATATAATGTGGCCTTCTCCTTGTACACTCAGTCGAGGCAGCACCCTCACATAAACCAGAGTGCTCCTACTCGTGAGACACACCTGAGGTCACCTGCTGTGTACACCTCTCTGACTGTTGGGTTTCTCTGTGTGTGTTATTGTAGGGTCGACCTTACAATATAAAGCACCTTGAAGCAACTGTTGTTGTGATTTGGCGCTGTATTAATAAAATTAAATTGAGCTCTGCGGTACAAAATATTTTCCTTGTGTACATGTTTACCACTTTAGTAATCAGTTACTATGCATGTAGACACAGTGCACGTCTTTGGGACCTTTTTAAATGGTTTGCAAACTAAAATAAATCAGTCAGATGAAATCTAGTTGTCTTTTTTCTTAGCAAAATCAGCATGAGCCATCTACGAGTCAGTAATAACTGGTGGTGCCATCGTGTCTGGGATGTAAAAACAGGACAGTTGCACACTGACACAAAACTAAGTTGAGAGTGTGTCACGTCAAATACTCTGTCAACTCATTTGTGATTTGCAGTTAGCACACTGAGGGGAGTAATGAGGAGTTTGTGCTCTCACAGCTGGATGCTAACGCGTGCAGAGCACACTGTCAGACCAGCGATATAATCCTGACATCGATTCAGAGTGCTGTGCACATTCCTCACAGGGGAAATTCACTTATCTGCTTGGAAAGCAGCAGACAACAAATCAGCAGTCAGGAAATGAAATAGCACTGTGGGTGAAACCGTGTGCGATCCTGCAGGATGGAGGCGAGGCAATTGTCCTGATAAATTTCCTCAATCTTTCTCTCTCGCCACTTTCCCGAAAGGTCATTTTGATATAAGAGAGTCTATGAAACACTCGGTTAAAGTACCAGAGCAACCCTTCAGCCACACTATCAGGGTTTCTGCATTCTCTGCATAGTACTGTATTTACTTTAAGGAAGACAATCTGATTGGCTAGAGCTTGGAGTCTGAGGATAGACGACGGTTGTCTAAATAAAATGTAGCAGAGAACAGCCTTTAAATATATCATTCAATGAGCTAATTGGTTGCTAAACATCACAGTGGTCATTTATTATAGAATTCTGTACTGAGAGACTTTAAGTTAGATACAGTTGTTCACCGTTTCCAACAGTGTGAGGATCTCATCCTGGAAATAAAAAGTATTTGGATTATAGTTGGTGGATGTCCTACAGACACTGCATTAAATAGACACTCATTACAAACAACAAGAACAACAAAAAAATACAAAGTCCCAGTTTTTCCCAAATAGCCAGTTACACTAAAGGCATTGACCACATCCAGCACATCACATGAAAGTATTGGGCCGGACGTGTTATTGGTGAATCCAGGTGTATAAAATGAAGCACTCAGCCGGTCTGTCTTTACAAACACTTGTGAAATAATGGCTCATTCTAAAAAGCTCACTTACTGTGGGATTGTAATAGGATGGCAGCCCGTTTGTGAAGTTTCTTCCCTCTTACAGCTTATTGTGGAATATGAAAGTTGTGTTATTGCAACGAGGAAGCAAATAGAAAAAGCAGCAACTCAGCCATAAAGTGGCAGAAGTGCCGAGGCGCACAGTGTGTCACAGTACCAACGCTCCAAACTTCCTCTGCACACAGTCTGTGCACCGGGAGCTTCCATGACTGAGCAGCTCCTGCAGGTGTCATTTGTAGGTGTACCGTGATAACTTCACTCTGGGATAAAATAACTGGTCATCTTTACGGGAACCACGAGCCATGGAAGGCTGGGCAAAGCACAACAACAAAAAACAGATTTTAAGCCTTTCTAATAAAAAGTAACAATAATAAACAAAACTTTAAAGCACGACCGTCAACAGTAACATTAAGTCTCTGTACGTGCTGTGTCGACACAGATCAAATAGAGCCCCCATGAATTTTTAATAGGTGCAGTTTAGTATCCAAAGATATACAGATGTTCACAAGGAGCACTAATGTGAGATTCCATTAAAATAAACCACTTCTGAAACTCCTAAAACATCAAACATTTAACCTGTTACCACAAATCAAGCCTCGTCTTTGGCCTCCTACAGAATAGAACTGGATCCTTTCGGATAATCAAACGCCTAAAGAGGTCAGCTTAATTTAAGATATAAGTAATAACTTGTGACACTGATTCAAACTCTCTGCACGAGACGGAGAGCAACGATAAGTCTGTTTGTTTACGACTCTCGGTTCTCCTCTGCAGCAGGTTCCTCTGTTCTCGGGATATTTGGATCGATGTTCCTCTGCTGTCCCTTCAGGGTCCACAGATGGTTATTAAAGTTTTATGGCCAACCTTGTAAACATCTATTTATCATTTAAATGTGGCTCCTTGTAACAGTTACCCAACACAGATGAAAATTAATCTTGATCTCACAGACTCTGACTCAGGAGGCAGATGCCCGGTGTCTGGGCCAAAGTAAGCTCTAGATGGAGAGCATAACATATGAGGCCATTAGCTGATGCAATGGCGTTGTGAGGAAGTGCTACTGGAGTGCATTTGGTTTATCGGTCTAAAGGGTATTTAGATTAATTTACATTTCAGAGGGTTTGTGCATCATTAGTCTTGTCATGCTGTTAGGATAACAGGAAGGCTAAGAAAAGGTGTGCAGCTCCACCTTGCAGGCATACATGCATATGTGTGGATGAGATATAAAATTAGTCTAGCCACATGTCCTGTTCATGCTTACGTATATATGTTTTTCTCACTTTCTTTCCCTAAAGGGCTGCTATCGAGGAGACTTACTCTAAGTCAATGAGTAAACTAGCTAAAATGGCCAGCAATGGAAGTCCACAAGGGTGAGTACCTCATGTACGATATGTAACAGCAGGACAGCGTCCTGTGAAGGGGTTCAGAAAATTACTGTATAGATTTGATTTCCCAGAAGGTGCTGGTTTGGTAATTATAGATGTGATGGTCATATGGCTGCATATGAGATATGGATGAGCACCATCTGTGGCACCAAATGCCCACATTTGTGATGCCATTCAGCCTATATCGTTCCAGTCATGTCGTCTACTCTTTGATGCATGATATTTGTATGTTTAATTACCTTCTAGGACTGAATCACTGGACACGATTACACGAGTCTGCAATGGTTCAAAAGTTTTCCTGTATTTGTTTGTTTTAAGGCTGATTTGGCTCATGTGGAAATACTTTGCTGTGCTAATCATATTTCAGTAACATGATTAGAGTGTGTGGATTGTTTGGCTGTTGTCAGTCAAATCTTATCAAAACACAACCAAATAAGCTGAGTTTTGTTTTTTACTTCACATTATAAGACAAGTTTTCTTGGCATTATTTAGAGTTTAGGTTTAGTTTTTAAGCTGCGTCGTCTGGTAGCTGCGTGTATGCTCCGTGCTACATTGTTGCAGTCCAACATCCCTGCTGTGATTATATATGCAACAAAGCACACTTCTGCACACTCTGGTCAGTGATTCGTTTTAGTCCGACAGGGCTGTGAGAGCCCTGCATCATTGATTTCCACATACATCGATCAGCCATACCATCGATGTTCTTGGTCTGCAGCGGTCAGTGTCTCTCAAAATTGGTTCGAGGAAGGAACAGACGTACCAGCGACGTGGTTGTAGGCAGCCAAGCCTCACTGATGTGTGTCGGGAGTGAAGGCCGGCCTGTGTGGTCCCATCAACAGACGAAAAAGTTCATGCTGGTTCTGATAAAAGGTGTCAGAGGTGCTCAGTCAGGGTGTTGACTCCTGTCCACAACTGAAAGCGCCAACAATGTTCTTCAGAACTGGACCACAGAGTAATGGAAGAAGACTTTCTTTTATATCACATGGATCGTCAGATGCATGTGCCTCATCTGCTATCTAGCAGATATCTGCATCAGGCCAGCGGAGGCAGTGTGATGCTTTGGGCAGTGTTCTGCTAGGAAACCTTGGGACCCGCCATCTATGTGGATTTACTTCGACCCGTACCACCTACCTAAGCATTTTTGCAGACCATGTGCACTTTTTCATGGGAAACGTATTCCCTGATGGCTATGACCTCTTTCAGCAGGATAAAGCACACAGGCACAAAGCAGGAATGGTTCAGGATCGGTTTGAGGTTCATAACAACAAGTTTGAGGCGCTTCCGAATTCTCCAGATCTCAGTCGAGTCAATTGTTGGTGGGATGTGCTGGACAAACGAGTCCCAATCCGTGGAGGCCTCACCTCCCAACTTACTGTTGCTAACATCTTCAGACAGCACACCGTCAGAGGTCTAGTGGAGTCTGCGCCTCGATGGGTCTGGGTCGTTTCGGCACCAAATGGGACCAACAGAATATTAGACAGACTGTTATGCTCGATGTTTGAAGGCAAATGAATTTCAGTGATCTCTGAGTAACAAAATGAGAATAAATTTGTGTAAAATAATAACTGCAAATGTAATTTTACATTTTTGGAAACATTTAGTCCTGTTAGTGATGATAAAAACTGTTAATATGGTGCCCGACATGAACAAATATACCTATGAAATACTCAATGGTCCACGATTTCTTAAGCGTAGTGGAAAATGTAGGAGTCTTTACGACAACAGTGGAATTACATGTTGATTATCTCTTATTACTATCTGCATATTTTCCAGGACTTTTGCTCCCATGTGGGATGTTTTCAGGGTGTCTTCAGACAAACTTGCCCTCTGCCACCTCGAGCTGATGAAGAAGTTCAACGATCTCATCCGCGATATCAACAAGTACGCAGACGAGCAGGTCAAAATACACCGCAAGGTACGTATCTGAAGTGAGGGGAAAAAAACACTTCACCCCAGTCCTGCCAGCCCTGATCAGCTCTTTTCTCAGAGGATATCCAGTTACCATCCTTTCCTTCATGTAATTGGTGCATTTGCCCTGAAAAGTACTCGGTACAATGATCCCCTGCACAGTCCATATGTAGGCTTTATTCTTTATGCATGTTTATGTGTATCAACCAGACTAAGGAGGAGATGGTGGGGACGGTGGAGGCGGTGCAGGTGCTTCAGGTTCAGAGCGGACAGCTTCAGAAGTCCAAGGAGGGTTACCACGCCAAATGTTTAGAGCTGGATCGACTCAGGAAGGAGGGAGGTCCTCAGAAAGAGCTGGAGAAGGTTCGCCTAACCTTTCTCACTGCAGAAACCAACTGCAAAGTGTCCCATGAAATGAAATGTTTCTGTTGTTGCAGAGGTTTGAATTAGATTCAATAATTTAAAAACATGAATGCCTGGGTGATGTTAAGTCTCAAGCATGAGAAATCTCTTGTTTTAAGTAAATATCAACTAGAGAAGGTCTGCAGCAGCGTGAGGGAGCCAGGCTACATATTTCATGCTGGCCTTGGAAAATCTCATAAACTGAAAGCGTGGCTCGAAAAGGAATGAGCAACCTCGAGTTTCAATCAACTGAAGAATATTTACCAAAATCCACTGCTCAAAAAAAATAAAGGAACAGTTTGAAAACACATCAGATCTCTCGGTTGGATTTAGGTCGGGCGGGGTGGGGACCAATCAGTGGTATCGGTTCCTTCATCCTCCAGGAACTGCCTGCATGCCCTCACCACGTGAGGCCGGACGTTGGCGTGCACGTGAAGGAACCCTGGGCTCCTTGCACCAGCGTAGAGACACGTAGTGGGTCAGAGCATTTCATCCTGGTACTTGATGGCAGTCGGTGCTGTTACCTAGCCTCGTTAGAAAGAGCCGTGACAAGACCAAAAACATTTCTCAGGTGCAGAAATGTCCACAAAAAGTACTCATTAAGTCACAGAGTAACACAAATGTACTAATGGAGCTGTAACTAATGTAAGAGTATACAATAACAGGAACATTACAGAATATCTTTACAATAAAATAAAAACAGCCAGCATTAAAAAAAAATACTGGAACATAAGTGTGGTCAGTTAACTGTCATTAATTAGTCATAATTATCAGTTCTCTTCATGATGGAGACTGGATCTCTCAGGATCTAGTGATAAATAACAGCTACAGCGTCTTTGTCAGCACCACAGATAAAGTTTGGTCTGATTAAATTTGGGAAACACTTGATAATCAGTAGATTGTACGTGTGTGGGTGTTTGCTGCAGAACATCTGATATGACGTGCTATTCTGACTTTGTCTGGTTATAAGCTGCCCACAGCTGTACACACTGGTCTCTCCTTCCTCTGCAGCTGACACTGTAGGCTTGTATCTCTCATCTCCTGCAAGCTGGTTTATTTTTTACACCAACTAAAATGTTATTTCTCAGAAAGTGGCTGCAGGAACCTTGAAGAACTGCAGATCTTGGTATCGTTTAAAATACCCAACTTTACACATTAAATGCATCCAATGCATACAGCCTGGTAGAAAAGTAGATTTCCTCATCATTGCAGCTGTGATGATTTTATTTATTCTTCTTCTATCTGGATACTGGAATGTTTTTATTTATATTTTAAGAAATGATCTAAAGATGTCAGTGCCTCTGCTTTACTCCCGTACACTGTATGGATTCAGTTTGGTAAACCTGGCTGTTGTTTGCTGAATGTTTTTAATCATTTGGTCACTTCTGTCTCCTAAAAACTAACATGGCAGCAGTCAAAGCGCAGCTATGGCCGTCTTTCGTATACAGCCTTTGCTAATCTGTGGCCACAGGTCGTGGTAGTTCTGTAAAAATTAACATTTAAAATATATTTGCTTGCAAGTTCATTAAAACTCATATATTAATAATCTTGTCAGACCTGTCAAAGAACTGCGTTTTGATGAGGTTTAGATGGGAGCAGAGAATCATGGAGCGAGGAGCAGCCGGCCGAACAAACTAAATGCACAGCTGTCTTTCAGAAGAAACGCTTCCTGGAGTCTGAGGTGCTCTTTGGGAGGGATACGTACTGGTTTATACACCCAGAAACTCAAAGGCCCCTCTTCTGTGGAACCAGCTTCCAGTTTGGATTCAGGAGACAGACACTATCTCTACTTTCAAGATTAGGCTTCAAACTTTCCTTTTTGCTAAAGCATATAGTTAGGGCTGGACCAGGTGACCCTGAATCCTCCCTTAGTTATGCTGCAATAGACGTAGGCTGCCGGGGATTCCCATGATGCATTGAGTTTTTCTTCTTCTCTTAACAGACCTCTCTGCACTGAATCATACTTATTATTAATCTCAAGCCCCTCCCTGAGCCTGGTTCTGTCGGAGGTTTCTTCCTGTTAAAAGGGAGTTTTTCCTTCCCACTGTTGCCAAAGTGCTGCTCATAGGGGGTCATCTGGTTGTTGGGTTTTTCTATGTGTGTATTATTGTAGGGTCGACCTTACAATATTAAGCACCTTGAGGCGACTGTTGTTGTGATTTGTTGCTGTATAAATAAAACTGAACTGAATTGAATTAAGGCGGCGCTCCCTTTTCAAAAGACTTTGTTCATGTGAAGGTTATTAAAAACAGTCTGTGAACACACCAACAGGAGATGTCTTTAAAACCTTGGCAGGTGAAAAAGGACGAAGATTCACCAAAATTGAATTCAAATCTGACAAAGAGAACAAAAAGGGGAAACGTGGTGACATAACTGCGTCTCTAATAAAGTTCATGAGAAAGCTGTAAAATCCCCGTTTAACTCAGGATACTTACTGGCCCGTAAGCCTTCAATCCAAAAAACGTTCCTTTGGTTAAGACTCCTGTGTCTGTCTGCTTGTGTTGAAAGAGCGACGTGATCAAAGGCTTGTGGTGTAGACGGGTTACTATTCTGAAGCAAGCTAGAAAGAAAGAACCTGAACACACAAACTAATCTGTAGTTATCGTAGTAGGACTCAAACTGCCATCAGAGTTCATCACTGAGAGCTCGCAGGTGAGCCCTTTAACAACTGCCAACACTCAAAAGTGTCATAAATATGTTTTGAAAGTAGCACGTGGTCACATTTGAGAAGTTGTAACAAAGTCGTTCTTATTTCAGGACAGCCAGCTGATGACTGGTTACATAATCTGAGTATATGTGATGTGTTCCAGCGTTGCTGCAGACATTTTTTAACAAATCTGTCTCGTTCTCTTGTGGAGTCATTTACTTTTGTCCGTCTTGTGATCGAGGGTCAGTATTTAAGGGCCGTTGTCTTTTTTCCTTTTTCCCCTCACTAGGCGGAGCTGAAGTCAAAGAAAGCAGCCGAGTCGTTCGCGCTGTGCATCGAGAAGTACAACCGCGTGGGAGGAGAGTTTGAGCAGAAGATGAGCGAGTCCGCCCAGGTCAGCTCCGACTCCAGCTGGGCCTAAAGCCACTTTTATCTCTCTCTCCCACCCTCTGATTTACTGATTTATGCATTTGTGCTTCTCTCGGGCTGCATTTGTCTCTCCGTATCCTCCCACCACACGAGAACTCGCTCTTATCTGTTCGTTTGTCATCCTACATCCTGCTTTGCCCAAAAAAGGAAACCTCTGCCCCCGACTCCTAAACACCCACCGACCTGCGCACACATCCCGCAACCCTGCTCGTTACCTTTAATCACCGGCTCTGCACTTCCATGGTTACTGCTGCTGTTACCATGGAAATCTTCAACAAACCCCGTTGAGCGGCTTTGTGTTTTAGATTTGAGATGGCGACAGGAATCTCAGCGACCAATTATCTGTTGTAATAGCTCTGAAGGAAAAGGTCTGGTAGTAATTATGAGGAAGTACTTGGAAGAACAACGTGTCAGGAGACGGTCGTCCGGGTGGAGGAAGGCTGCTTTTTATAAGATCAAAATCCTTTAATTCGACCAAGAGAAGAAGAAAACGCACGCGGTGTGTGTTCACGCACATTCCTCCTGCAGGAACTGTAAATATGAAACCCCAGAGAAGCCGAGGGCAGCGTGCCGTACACCAAAAACAACACCGGCTTTAGGGAGAAGCTTAAAGGTGCATTTTGCTTGTTGATGCAGTTGACAGACGGGCACCTTCACACGATACAAAGTCAGCGGTGAGGCATGAGTTATTGATTGGACCGCTTTGGCAACGGCCATCCTAAACGATTATTCGACTAACTGTTGAAGCTAGTTATCCACAAACTCACTGCCAAACTAAACCAAGTGCACCAGAGATGGTTCAGACCCAGAGCAGTTTGTTGTGATGTTTCAGGGAGAAACCAGTTGCATACACAGAAGCGTTGCAGTGAAACCTTGAGCCGTGTCACAGTGCAGATGGAAATGAGGACTCTGACAGCAGCAGTGTTTTATATTTGCTCTCCAAGCCCAGATCTTGCATGTATAATTGGAGTAAAGGAGCTGGCACAAGCTTGCTCATAAGCTTGCTTCTCCACCGAAAGCCAATTTCCCCCATATCAAGACAATTCCCCTGAAGCAGACAGCGACAAATGAGCTGGCTGAATAAAGAGCCAGATCAAACTCAAATGCTAAATCTTCTTGAATTATCGCGGGTTTAACGACCTGGCGAGCCGGTGCCTCCGTAGCTGGCTGACCGCCCAGCTGCAGCGCGGCTCTTTTTCAAAGGCTATTTCCATTTTATTGAATAAAGGTCGAGTTTGAAGAGT